CAGCAGTTAGAAAGATTTTAAACATTCTTTGTTATATTAGATAACCACGAGTTTTTCCACACCGGCCGCCACTCACTCATCCTAACCAATGTGAAACAAGTATATACACATGCACAACGATAGCCACACGATAACAGAGAGCTCTTCAGCAATCAACTCGAACATAGTGTAATACAGCCCTAATCTTTCTCAATCATCACTTAAAGAATACAAAGGTCATCATAAGTTTATTAATAGGTGGGTTCTCTGTGTTCCTCAGCCCATTGTTGTAGAATGTTGCAACAGAACTTTGTGCTTACACGGATGCAATCAAACAGTTTCCTGGTGTGGACTAACTGCAGGTCCCGATGCTATTGTAAACTGCAAACCCCTATGTTGGCCAGATTGTAGGACAAAAGCAACCTGTGTTGCTGCCAATGCTGCTGCTTCCTGAAAACGTTAATGGTACAAACTTCAATAAAACTAGAATTCAAAATATGTTTCTGACATACGATTAAAGAACAAGGAAGAGTCTGAATGAAACAAATATGGAACTACAAATAAAAGAAATTAACTTGACAATAACCTGTTGCCTTCGACGTTGCAATACACTGATGGCCCAAGCCATGATGTAGCATGGCAAGAGAAATGCAGCAGCCCGAAGCAAGAAAAGCTGCAGGAAGTTTAGACAGTTAGAAAGCTTGGTTATAACATTTAGTGACTGTATTGATAAACACTTTAGAATTGCATATTTTATTTTTTGGCAAGTTCTTAGAACAGCCTAGTTGATTTGACAGAACAGAAGCAAAGTTTAGACTGCACTTACAGAGAAAAAAGTAGACACGTCATCATCTCCATCAGCTTCTGGAACAGTAAATGCATGCCGCAAGAGCAGAAGAGCCATTAACTGATAAATAAAACAATCACCTTAAAGTCAAATCCTAATCACATGGGTTATCTAAGAAAGAGCAAACATATAAAAAATGGGAACTAAAATGATAGTTTGCATGCCAAATTTAATGTGAGGTGATTGCTGGTTTCGTGGCTTGGGTGGATACTGGGTAGATCTCTTAAAACCTATAGTAAGGTTAGAGGCCGCAGCCCCGAGTGGATAGTATATACATAGAATAAGATTGTTTATAATAATAAATCCAGCCACAGGGGTAAAACTAAAAGGTAAAACTAATGCCCAGCTATCTTTCCAAATACTTAAAGCTTACTTCTTTACCAAACTCAATCTCTCATCACCTTCCCCTTAATACATGGCTAATGTATTACCATACAATACTGAAAACACAATGGTCAACAGCTTATACTAAAGGTCATGAGTCATGCAAAATAAAGTGACAAATGCATTTCACAGAATGTATAAAACATGCAGATAGATACTTTGTATCTATCGCTCTAGAAGATTCACAATTAAAGACTTACAATTAGAGCAACAGACCGGCAAAATGCAGCTCCACTGGCACTTGAAGCAGCATACTCATCATATTCAGCTTCCAAAAATTGATGCTCTGCTTCCGCAATAGCCAAGAGGCGAGGATCACGCAAATCCAGAGGGGTGCCAGAGATTGTCCAGCCTCCACTACATGACAGAGGCACAAGTCAAAAGCAGATCAGAGAATAGTCTCATCAGAACAAAGTTATAAAATACCAAAGTATGATCTGGATTAATATAGCAAATGCAAATCCTGATCAAATTCTAAAACAAAGTGTCTCACATAAATAAAATGGAATTCACTTTTCCTTTCACTTTTCCTTTTAAATTTAAGAAAACTAAGAAATACATGGACTTGAGAAAATTTAACTTACCCAATATCAATGGCAGTTTCCTCAATCTGAGGGCGAGGTGGAGCAGTGTAGCCTTGCTGGTAAGGCTGCACATGATGCAACAACAAAGGATATTTTAATTTAGGCCATGATACATGATCTAGGATCAATAACCATTTAATATTATTAAAAGAAGTTAGCAAATGTATGAGCAACTGTAAATCCTGAATACATGAGCATATAGTTTTACTAAAACACTGTATTACAAAGTAACATGCTCTTTTGATAAATTATATTAAGCAAAATAACAAAGGAAAGCAGAACAATTGACAGCCAAAACCTATGAAAAGAAAAATTACTTAATAAGATAGGTATAGTAACAACCAGGAATCATATTTATAACTGTATGCATAATAAAGTTATCATCGTCAATTTTCATGGTTTTGATAAAGCCAGCTTGTTCACCTAGTTCCATATGGAATGCCAAATCACTCACTCTGAAAATTATGACCTTTTCTTTTCTTTTATTTTCTTTTTCTTTTTTTGCATGAAATGGCGTTCAAAGTAAGCGACTTGAAAAGGTACCCATTCAAACATTACAGCAGAAAAGAAGAGAGCAAAATATTAAAAATTAAACATCGAATGAAAATACCTGATGACAAATCTCACAAATTGTGTCTCCTTTCTCATTGCACCAATGCTGAACGCACTTTCTATGAGCGTACTGCAATCAAATATAGAAATTAGCTGCTATAGATTAAAAAAGGATAGAATTTTTAAACATTAAAAGCCAAAAGATAATCACTGACCCATTAAAACATTACTAGAAAAGTATCAATCCATTTATTCACACAATGCAACAAACCCCAATGTAATTACAAGGGCATTAAGACGAAAGCAAGCCACAGAATCCTAAAATAATGCATCTTTAAGAACTATGGCATCAATTCAACTCAAAATAATAAGAAACAAAAGAAATTAAAGGAAATTTGACCCCCATTTCATTGTTTTGTATAAATTGAAAAAATTGAAATTTAACGTTTCCAGAAGAAACAGGAATGAAAGGAAATCTAATACCTTCAGGCTGCCACTACAGCCACAAGGGGTCTCCAAGTTGTTAATGGAATCTTCTTCCTGACAAATCCTGCACTCAGCCGCTTGCATCAGCGGCTCCTCCTCTCCTCCATCGAGCTCCCTCTCCCTATCCTGGAGCGAGCAGGAGGGACCCACATTTTCCGAGGAGGGACCGGCCTCCGATTCCACCGGACGCACCGGCACAGGCCTCACTAGGCGGTCCACAAACAGAACCAGGTGATCGCTCATGATTCTACAAACCCCCAAAAAGAAAACTTGAATCAAAATTGAAACCTACAGAAAAATAAGAAGAGATTAAATAGAGAGGGTGGAATGGAAGTAAAGATGAACCCGGAATCGCGCCGAGTGAGAGAAGCCGATCGGAGGTTTCCGAGAAAATGAGAGAAAATTAGAGAGGAGGGAAAATAAAGAGAAAAAGGGAGAAATGTTAAAAATCGCAGAGGTTTCCCTGAAAATGAATGGGGCGAGTTTGTTACGAACGAAGAAGTAGGGGCCAAATTCTAATTTGTATTCTGTTCTTTTTGCGCGTTTGTTTCTTATTTAATTTTTTGATTTTCTCAACTTTCGGCGATAGGATTGGAGGATAAGTTGTTGTTTTTTTTTTCAAAGAAAAATAGTTTATCACTACAATAATATTAGACTAAAGAACATTTAATTTAAAATTATGTATATCCATAATCCATTCAATAATTTCTTGCTAAGACATAGTAAAATAACATATTTTAAGTAAATGTGAATTGTTAAGTCAACATGCAATAAAAAAAGCTAAAATTGTCTATGGAAAAATATAAAATATCATTAGTAACCAACAAATCGTATAGATTTATTAAGAATATTTAAAGAATTTTATAAACATTTTTATATTTTTTTCAACTCAAATGTGAATATTCTTTTATATTTTTAAAAAATAAGATCATTTTAATTTTCAAAAATTTATTACAATAATATAATTTTTAAATAACTTTTACTTAACTTTTTAAATAACAACTAATATAATATTTTATAAAAAATTATTTTATAATTTAAACTATTCTAAACTAATAATATATTAGGAGAGACAAACACCTAATTTGAAACTCTTCCTATTTAAAAGTGTTTATATTTCCTTTTGTACATTTTAAAAATATTTATTTTATAATAATTTAAAACAATCTAAATATAATTATTTTTTTTATTATACGGTCAGATTCAGAAGATTCGAACAAGTTTCGCCTACTCATGTGAGAATGGGAGTGAGATTGAGTGGGAACTTCTTAGATATTGATTGCACAGACAGTGGATGGGATGGACCGGTTTCCAGGAATCCAACGGCTAGAAGGGTATATTCGTCATTTCATTAAACGCGTTTAGACTCGGCAAAGTTGACGCGTTCGCCTTTGGATTGGTGGAGCGTTTTGTTTCGGTTTCAACGGGGACTTATGGTGGGGTAC